TGTTCGTTCTAGAGCGTGACATTCATGAACCAGGGGTATTTCTACCCCCACAATTGTCCAATTTTTCTAGGGTTTCACATCGGGTTCGACTCTGTTGCCACGTTAAATTAAGTTTTGATCCTAATTCATATCTCAAAAGTTAGCTCAAAGGAAACGGATTACTCAAAATTTCATTCATTTACTAATGTGGGATATTTCATTTCATTCATCAACCCCCTTTGTATTAAAATACACCTATATGCTAAGTAATATGTTAAATCGATGGAACAACTGAAATATATAAAAACTTATTCTACATTGGATCATAAATTGCAATTTAATTCTTAAATAAAATTATATGCATTAAAGTTCGATTAGATTAGGATTCACGCTTTGCATGACTCATTTCTAAGGGCAACACTCTCAACATGATTTTTTTTATTTTCAGAGTTCGAACCCGAGCTAGATTTTCATTAAAACTCAAGTGATCTCAACCATAATTTATATTGGTGTTACACTTTCACTAATTACCAGCAACTATGCACCACCAAATTAAAGGAAATAGAAACAAAAATAAAAAGGGGCAATCTTAGGTATATGATGCTATTGATCCTGGAATAATGCTGCTTTTTAATGACCCATTTAATCATTAGTAATGATATATAGTAAAATTTACGCATGATTTAAGGTAACTTATTATATAATTATAAGTTAATATTTAATATAAGAATTGGTGTACAAAATCGAACCGAAAATCGAATCAAACCGTAAATATAGTCAAATCGAACAAAAAACCCGACTAGTGGTTTGGTTTGACTTGGTTTGGTATTGGAAAAAAAATCCGACTATATTTGGGTTGGTTTGGCTTTAACTAAAAAAATCAACCCGAGACCAAACCAACCCGACATTATATATGTAATTTTAAAATTTTATTTTATACATAAAAATATTTACATTGATATAATTTTAAAATATTTCTTATACTATTTCATAGTTTTTATCTTTTAAAATATTATTTCGAGTTTAAAACTTAGAATTCAGAATGGTCCAATAAAGATTATAGTTCATAGATGTTGATAATTATAAAAAAACTTAAATAAAAATTAAATTAATACTAATGCAAAACGAAAATCAATTCAACACTAAGAATGACAATAATATTGAATATTTGTTCTTTAGTTTTACATTGGTTTAGACAGTTAAAATACATAATCTAACTTTAATTTTCCTTAAATATTTAGTAATGTAACTAATACTTATTAAACTTATTTTAGCATGATTTAGTACTCTTAAATTATGATCATTTTCATTATGACTTTGCAATATTTATTTTATATGATGATTTTTTAAAAATTTTTTTATGAATATTTTAGTGTCATCACTCCTCTCATATTTTGTGTTATTTTTTTAAGAAACACCTTAGATAATTGTATTTTGGTTGGACTAAAGAAATATTTGGAGCACAAGTTAATTATATGTTTGTATGCAAACTTTACCGAAAAAATCCAAAAATCTGAAAAAATCCAAGGTTTATTAGTTTGGTTTGATTTATAAATTTAAAAATTTGACACAATGGTTTGGTTTGGTATTTGAAAACCTCGAATCAACCCGAGGTTGAAAAATCCAAAAAAATCCGAATTTTATTAGTTTGGTTTGGTTTATAAATTAAATTTTTTTACACAAATAGTTTGATTTGATATTTGAAATATCCGAATCAATCCGATCATGTACACCCCTAATAAGCACTAGTTGATCAGATAAAATAATAACTATGTTATTTTCACAAATTAGACTATTAATAATGTATTATAGTATTGAGGTGTATGTATATATTATTTATATTTATTATTATAGACAAATGTATAATTGAAGCACAAAGGGATGTGACAGGCAGGGTGAACATAATCTCTCTGACTCTTCCTCCAATCGTTTTAAATACTTGTTACTGGGTCTGGCTATTTTTAGCTGTCATGTTACAATTTTTGAAAATTTATTTGACTAGTTTTCAAAAGTTAAATTAGATTTTATTAATTTGATATTTTAAACAACAAATTTAGATATTCAAAAATTATACGAAAATATTATAAATTGTAATATTTTATATATCAATATGATGAAAAATACATCGTAAAATGTTAGTCAAAGTTCTTATAGTTTGATTCTAAAAAAGGAAACCATGACAATTAAAAGTGGATGGAGAAATTATTTGTTAATTACTTTTCTCTTTTCAAATTTGAATCTTCTTGAATTTTGATTAATATTTTAAGATGTATTTTCTTAAAATTGAAGGTAAATAATACTAACTATCTGAATATCCGTTTTTATCTTAAGGATTGTGAGAAATTCATTGTGGACAATAAAAACTAACGAAGAGAGTATTAAAAAAAATCCTTGATAACAAAAAGTGACAAGGAGATCTTTGAAGATATGCGGTGGTGAGAGTGAACGAGGTTTCTCTTGGTTTTCACTTTCCCCCCTCCTTTATTCCAATGTCTTCTTAAAATTATGTGCATTAAATTCTAGGAGGCTTCACCTAGGTCCAATAACTTGTTACTTGTAATTGATTTCTCTTTTTGTGTGAATTTTATAAAGCCATAATGTTGGAATTTGAAAAGCTGGAATTATTCAACCTCTACTATTATGTTCAAATTACCATTCAAAACCCTCTTTTAATTCTTTTACTCTATTTTTAATACCAAAATCAAGAAGGAACTTGGCTTTTCCTTTCTTTTTTATTTCACCATTTTTTCAAATATTGATGTCATGAATGAAAATTATCATTTTGATTAACAACAAAGTATATATAAAAAAAAGGTTAAAGACAAGTGAATTAATATCGATGAACGAAAGACCACAGTAATGGACCAATGCCAGAATAGAATTGGTTCAAAGAGGCAAAAGAATATAAGTGAAGCGAATACTCCCTCCGTCCCTATTTAGTTGTCCACTTTAGAAATGACATACAAATTAAGGCAACAATGATTAACATAGTGAAGCTACAATTTTACCTTTATAGTACAATTTACTTCCAAAATAAATTCACTCAAGATAACTAATCAATGTTGGAAGTTCATAAGTTTATTTACTTTATTAATGACAACTTTTCACTTTAAATAAGGGTATAATAGGAAAAAATTTATTGTCCTTTCTTGATTTGTCAAAATGGACAACTAAAAGAGAAAATATGAACAACTAAATAGGAACGGAGGGAATATCTATCAAAGCCCCCCTCCCCACACCCCAAAAATAAAAATAAAAAATTGTCAAATCGTTACCTCAATATGAAATGACTACACGTTTAGAACTAAAGACGCTATCTAGTACTCCCTCCGTCCCTTTTTAGTTGTCCACTTTAGAAATGGCACACAGATTAAGGCAGCAATGATTAGCACAGTGAAGTTACAATTTTACCCTTATGACAACTTTTCACTTCAAAATTACAACCACTTATTTGAATTCAAGGGAAATAAATTGGAGGGAAACAACATACACTTTTACAATTTTCAAGAAGTGTAAATAAGGGTATAATAGGAAAAAAATTGTTGTCCTTTCTTGATTTGTCAAAATGGACAACTAAATAGGGACAACTAAAAAAGGAAATATGGACAAGTAAATAGGGACGGAGGGAGTAGCACATGCCTATATTATGATGTTTCGCCCTGAAATTCATTGGAGGCAAATGGAGGTGTCCGTAGATGATCTTCCTCGAAGGCGAGGTCACGGTATAGTATTATACATGCATACATCGAGGCACCTCATATTGTACGGCCTCTCTCGGTTTGTTCTTTTACCAAGGATTGCAATTAATAAGATGTGTCTCAAATTAATAATGGATAAGAGGGAGTATTAACTTTTCATGATTAATAATTCAACCAACAAATACTATTACTTTGCTCCTTCATATCTTCTCTTCTTACTCTCAAAAACTCATTTTATATTCATTCTTCTTAAAAGAAAAATACAAACACAACATAAATAACATGAATATTCTCAAAACAAAACCTTTTCAATTAAACCATTACTATGTACCACAATTTGTTTGTTCTTTCTTTTGATTTCTTATCTATGTTGTCTCTTTTTAGTTTCATTTTATACACTTGTCATACATTTCATATATACATTTTTATACAACAAATATACGCATGAGTAAAGAATCTCTCCATTGTTATGGCTCTAAACAAAATTATCTCTAAGATACTCTAAATTAGATTGTTCGTGAGCGTTCTCCTAGATTCTTTATGCCTGTTGAGGATTTTTTTTTTTTTTAATAAAAGGATGCTAGACACTCTGTCGGGTTGTATATACCGCCTTCTCTCAAAATATAAAAGAGGTTCTTTGTAGTAGTGAGTCAAACACTTGCGATAATTTTTGGAAAGAAAAATATGCTATGCCCTATGTAGAGTATTCACATACAAAGTTTATAATTGATGAAATCAAATAGTTGTTACATGTATAAAGGCCTATGTAGAGTATTCACATACAAAGTTTATAATTGATGAAATCAAATAGTTGTTACATGTATAAAGGCCTATGTAGGGTATTCACATACAAAGGGATGGAAGAAAAAATTAGGCCTAACTCAAACCTAAAAGCTAATTCATGTGGAGCGTGAACAATATAAGATGAGGTAGCTAACGACATCAGAAACAATGAATTGGGTGAGTGTACGTAACTTTGATACTATGATAAAGAAATTGACCTTGAGTCTAACTAAATTCCAAAAGATAGCTCACGAGGAGGTTGCCAAATATAAGGAGACTAAGGACATCTGAACACACTAATGTGGGACTCCAACACATTTTTTGCTTAAATTCCAAAAATCAGTTCAAAGGTCAATTCAGACGTAGACAAATTAAATTATTCAAAAGTAGCTAGAAATCCAAAAAATGCATGCATTTCATCCATACAATACATTAAAATCTTAATTACATAAACTAGATATATCATCAAAGTTCATAATGTTACATTTTTAACTCTTCTAGCTAGATGCGATTATTTCTTCTTTTGTTTTGCCTTTGACTTCATTGTTTCTTTCTCTGTCGCATAATAATTTTGTGTTCAAGCTCTTCAACGATTCTTACAAGCCATTTCAGATTTCCAGTTGAGATCATTATATATATTATGGATAATCCAATGCATAGCCCACTTCCATATCCCATAAGAGCAGCTTTCCAAAAATCATTCAGAAATTCGGAATTGCTTTCTTCATCATCTGGCTCATAATAATCATCATTATATGTCTCTGGTGGCCAAATACTTCCACAACCTTTCGAAACAGGGAATCCTTGTAATCCATCATTACCTTCATACGAATTATTTTCAAATGTAGCAAATTGACGTCCTTGAGGAATGCATCCTTGGAGATGATTATGAGAGAGATTTAAGACTTCAAGAAACGTCATACCAGCAAGTTGTTGGGGTATTTCTCCCGAAAGCTGGTTAAATGATAGATCCAATGATTCGACTAAAGATAAACTTCCAAGTGATGATGGTATATTACCTTGCAATCTATTATGAGACAAATTTAGCACCTGAAGCGCAATGAGATCTCCTAGACTACTTGGAATATGTCCTTCAAATTTGTTGCTTGAAAGATCAATAGCAACATAAATTGTCAAAATTCTATTCAGTTCAAGCACCAATCCCTTGGTTGCAACTTTTACAGACTCATCGTAGTATCCATTTCCATATTTACCAAGATATGTTGGTACCTTCACTGTTTTATCAATTGTCGTCATGACTTTTAGTTTTTGAAATAGACTAGTCGACAAGTTTCCTGTGAAGGCATTGTAAGAGAGATCTATGATTCGAAGCTCAGAAAACATGTTTGCATCACTTAAAGTTTTAATTGGCCCATGTAATTTATTCGATCTCAAGCTTAAAACTTTCAACTTTGGCAAAGTTTCAAACCACATTGGGAATGTGTCATTAAGGTGATTGTCTCCTAAATTAAGAATTTCCAACTCTTTGCAATTGGCAAAAGATGGAGGGATTTTCCCCTCTAATTCATTGTCATGCAAGTCTAAGCTTACGAGTACACTTCCATTACTAAAAGTTTCTGGAAGAGTCCCATAAAGATTGTTTTGGTGGATATGCAAAACCTCAAGATGACCACCCATGTTTCCAATACATTGTGGAATCACTCCCTTCAGATTGTTTCTGCCCAAATCTAAAATCCTTAGAGATGTTAGATTGCAAATAGACGGAGGGATCTCTTCACTGAGATTATTATATTCTATTTTCAATACCTGGAGTCCACTGATATTAACTAGACATTGCGGAATTTCTCCCCTCAAGTTGTTTCTCCCCAAATACACCTCTTCCAATTTCATCAATTTGCCAAAAGAAGCTGGGATTGAACCAATGAGTTTATTATCAAATAAAAACATAATAACGAGGCTTTTCAGATTTCCCAACTCACTTGAAACATAACCAGAAAGGTTGTTAGCATGAAGAGATAAGATATACAAGTTGTTCAAATTCCCCAAAGAAGCAGGAATAGAACCATTAAGAAAATTAGTAGACAAATCTAAATAACTAAGATTCCTTAGGTAACCTATTTCTTCAGGAATGGAGCTAGAAAGATGATTCTCACGAAGAGACAAAGAGGTCAAGCTGGTCAAATTCCACAATGAAGCAGGAATAACACCACTTAGAGAGTTTTTAGACAAAACTAGTTGACTAAGAGACCTTAAATAACCTATTTCTTTAGGAATGGATCCAGAAAGATTATTCTGATGAAGATACAAAATAGACAGGCCGGTCAAATTTCCCAATGAATTAGGAATAGAGCCAAAAAGATTATTCTCATGAAGATACAAATTAGACAAGCAGGTCAAGTTTCCCAATGAAGCGGGAATAGGGCCATTAAGAGAATTAGTACTCAAAGCTAGATAAGCAAGAGACCTTAGGTCACCTATTTCCGAAGGAATAGAGCCAAAAAGATTATTTTGATAAATATACAAAATAGACAAGTTGGTTAAATTGCCCAATGAGGAAGGAATAGAACCATTTAAAAGGTTGTCATACATGTAAATGGTCTGAAGCTTGGCTAGTGAACCGATTTGAGGTGGGATTGTGCCTGAAATGTGATTAGTGTGCAAATCAAGATAGACAAGATTAGTGAGATTACCAATATGAGGTGGGATGACTCCAGAGAGATTGTTCATGCTAAGATCAGCATATTCAAGAAAAGGAAGAGTTGAAAATGGGAAATCAGAGATTGTACCGATGACATTAGCACCTCTAATATCCAACTTGTTTACCCTACCATTAAAGCATGTAATTCCATACCAATCCTCACATGCATTGGAACTCTGTGTCCATGAAGCCAATAAGGAGTTATTCTGATTCTTGAAAGTTGCTTTCCATTTTAGGAGGGCAATTGCTTCCTCAGTGGAAGCAAAAGTATTTGTAAAGAGAAATAAGAAAGTGAGAAACTGAAATATTGAAAATATTTTGGGAACCATCATCAAATATTGATAAGAGATTTTGTTTGATTTATTTTTTTCTTTTGATGAACTTTTGCAGTGTTACACATTTATATTGTAGAAAACTTTTCTTTATGGTCTTGCTAGTCAATGACATATAATTGTTAATTTGTTATTGTCATATACTGTCTTGTCTCTATTAGATTGTCCATATCTTGCCTAAACAAAAACATGGATTTAGTCAAGCATAAGATGCCAAATAAGTAGCTAGGAAAACATTATAACTTTCAAACGTGTCTAGTCATTGGTCTCCCTAATTTTGTATTTAATTTAATTTGTCTAAAGATATAAATTGTCTTTTGTGGGATGGGGAGATTTATTTTTGCATCCCTTCACAAATTTATATTTAGTTTTATATTTTTTTTAATGAGAGATTATGTATAGTTTTATGTTTTTTTTTTTAATGAGAGATTATGTTATACATAAGAGATTTTGAAAAGATTATTTTCCTAGTTAAATTGTATGGTTATAAAAGATTATTTCTATCGTGAGATCTTTTTCCTAGTTAAATTGTATGGTTATAAAAAATTATTTCTATCGTGAGATCTTTTTCTGAGTTAAACTGTATGGTTATGAAAGATTATTTCCATCGTGAGATCTGAATTGACATTATATCGGCCAGCCGTGTCAATTCATCTAAGAAAATAATTTTTATTTTATTTTTTCTTGTTCAAGACCAAATCCAATCTCTCAAGAAAGTAAGAAAAAAGAAAAGAAAATCACTAACGCGCCAACTTTCAGAGTTCATATTGAAAGGTTTTCTAATAATACTAGATATAGGACCCCGTGCCAGCACGGGCCCAATATATATTATTTTTTTATTTTAATTTATGTCATATTATGGAATTTGAGAAGTTATTGATATTTTTATATGATTTTAAAAATATTTTAAATTTTTAGCTATTGTGATTTGTAGTACTTTTTTTTAACATAATTTTGAAAATAATATTTATTACTCTGTTTGTTCTAATTTATGTGGCAAACGCAGAATTTCAAATATTAACCCTTTTTTATATGTCTTTTTAATAAATGAAGTTGTTAATTATTGTATTTTATAGTACATTTTGAACCTAATTTTTTAATAATATATGTTATTTGCCATGTCCCAATTTATGTGGCATTAATTGATAGATTTGTTGGAGTCGAGAGATTTATTTTGTTAATTATTGTAATTTATAGTTTTTTTTCGTCAATTTCAAACAATATATGTTGTTAATTGATAAAATACTTTTAATGTAATTTTTTTTTAAAATATATGTGTGACTCTCCATGTCCCAATTTATGTGGCACATGTAAAGTTTTGACAATTAACCAAAATTTTAATACATTTAAAAATATATTTTTAAGTCGTTAAATTTTAAGTAATTTAAATTGTTGTATTATTTATTACAATTTATAATACTTTTAAAGTAGTTTAAATATTGTACTATTTATTATGATTTATAACAGTTTTTTTTTAATTTATGTCATATTATGGAATTTGATAAGTTATTGAAATTTTTATATGATTTTAAAAATATTTTTTAAATTGTTAGCTATTGTGATTTGTAGTACTTTTTTTTAACATAATTTTGAAAATAATATTTATTACTCTGTTTGTTCTAATTTATGTGGCAAACGCAGAATTTCAAATATTAACCCTTTTTTATATGTCTTTTTAATAAATGAAGTTGTTAATTATTGTATTTTATAGTACATTTTGAACCTAATTTTTTAATAATATATGTTATTTGCCATGTCCCAATTTATGTGGCATTAATTGATAGATTTGTTGGAGTCGAGAGATTTATTTTGTTAATTATTGTAATTTATAGTTTTTTTTCGTCAATTTCAAACAATATATGTTGTTAATTGATAAAATACTTTTAATGTAATTTTTTTTTTAAAATATATGTGTGACTCTCCATGTCCCAATTTATGTGGCACATGTAAAGTTTTGACAATTAACCAAAATTTTAATACATTTAAAAATATATTTTTAAGTCGTTAAATTTTAAGTAATTTAAATTGTTGTATTATTTATTACAATTTATAATACTTTTAAAGTAGTTTAAATATTGTACTATTTATTATGATTTATAACAGTTTTTTTTTAATTTATGTCATATTATGGAATTTGATAAGTTATTGAAATTTTTATATGATTTTAAAAATATTTTTTAAATTGTTAGCTATTGTGATTTGTAGTACTTTTTTTTAACATAATTTTGAAAATAATATTTATTACTCTATTTGTTCCAATTTATGTGGCAGATGCAGAATTTCAAATATTAACCCTTTTTTATATGTCTCTTTAATATATTAAGTTGTTAATTATTGTATTTTATAGTACATTTTGAACCTCATTTTTTAATAATATATGTTATTTGCCATGTCCCAATTTATGTGGCATTAATTGATAGATTTGTTGGAGTCGAGAGATTTATTTTGTTAATTATTGTAATTTATAGTATTTTTTTCGTCAATTTCAAACAATATATGTTGTTAATTGATAGAATACTTTTAATGTAATTTTTAAAAAAAAAATATGTGTGACTCTCCATGTCTCAATTTATGTGGCACATGTAAAGTTTTGAGAATTAACCAAAATTTTAATACATTTATAAAAAAAATTAAGTCGTTAAATTTAAAGTAATTTAAATTGTTGTATTATTTATTACAATTTATAATACTTTTAAAGTAGTTTAAATATTGTACTGTTTATTATGATTTATAACAGTTTTTTTTTAAAAATTTATGTCATATTATGGAATTTGAGAATTTATTGTAATTTTTATATAATTTTAAAAATATTTTAAATTGTTAGCTATTGTGATTTGTAGTACTTTTTTTTAACATAATTTTGAAAATAATATTTATTACTCTCTTTGTTCTAATTTATGTGGCAGATGCAGAATTTCAAATATTAACCCTTTTTTATATGTCTCTTTAATATATTAAGTTGTTAATTATTGTATTTTTTAGTACATTTTGAACCTAATTTTTTAATAATATATGTTATTTGCCATGTCCCAATTTATGTGGCATTAATTGATAGATTTGTTGGAGTCGAGAGATTTATTTTGTTAATTATTGTAATTTATAGTTTTTTTTTCGTCAATTTCAAACAATATATGTTGTTAATTGATAGATTTTTTGGAGTGGACTATTTTTTTTAATTAATTATTGTAATTTATTGTTTCTTTTTCGTCAATTTCAAACAATATATGTTTATTATATAATCCATTTTATGTGGTATCAATAGAATTTAGAGAGTCAATTAAATTTTTTATATAAGTTTTAAATAATTAAGCTGTTAATTATTGTAATGTATAGTATTACTTATATTATTTTTAAATGTATTTAAATATTATATCTTAGGTTTTTATCCTAATTTATATGGCATTGATAGAATTTAAAGTGTCAAATAATTGTTAATTATTGTAATAGATAATATGGAGTATTTAAGTCATTTATAGTATAGTAATTAATAATATATAATATGTAGTATTTAAGTGGAGGGTGGTGGGGCCCACTTATATAGTTTGATAAATATATTGGATATTAGCAGTGATTTATAGTATAGTAATTAATAATATATAATATGTAGTATTTAAGTGGAAGGTGGTGGGGCCCACTTATATAGTTTGATAAATATATTGGATATTAGCAGTGATTTATAGTATAGTAATTAATAATATATAATATGTAGTATTTAAGTGGAAGGTGGTGGGGGCCACTTATATATTTTATAAATATATTGGACATTAATAGTGAACTTATTGGCACAATAATAGTCATTTCTAGAGTCTTCTATAATATAATAATTATATTGAAACTATGTACAGTCATATTTACGTACAAATCACGTAAGAGTCATAGAATAAGTCATGTACAGAAAATAATAATACTATGCAAACAAGGCCACAAATAAACAAAGCTAATTGGTAATATTCAAATAAATGTTATCCTTCTTCACACGTAACCCCACATTGGGAAAATTAAGATTTACTTTTTATACTTCCTCCTATATGGCCTAAGGGCATCTCCAACCCTAATCTCTATTTTACTCTCCAAATATAGAGTTCTCTATTTTATCAGACAACCAACTCCAACCCAATTCTCTATTTTACTATCTAAAAAAGAATCTTTTTCCCTCTCCTCAATATTATATTATTATTTCTATTTCATTAATATTTTCTTATTTCATGATACACATCCTTTATTTCCTTTTTTCCAAATAATCACTTCATATAATATTCATGTAATATAAAAAATTATTTTTTTCAAATTCATTACTTAATATAAAATTATATTTTTCCTAAATTTATAAATAACATAAATTGCAAGTTAATATTATATAATATACAAATTAATGGACAATTCAAATAAAAGTGAAATTTTTAGTGAAATATAATTACATAAATACTCTACTTTCAAGATTATTACATTGCTCTTATAAATGCTCTATTAATGCATTACGGAGTTCAAAATGAACATTTTATCCTTAATCATTTTATGTCTAGCTAAAGATTGTTCAAATCGGAGATTTTCATTCAACAAGAACAACTACGAATAATTAAAAAAAGAAATCAACAAGCACAACCACAATCACAACTACACTAATTATGTAGATCATACACTATTTTTTTCCAAATATTGTTAAATTTGAAAAATGACCTACCGGATTACTAAATTATCGTTGTGATAAAATTATTATGTTATGTATTGTTATCTTGTATTTAAATTATTATGTCATGTATTGTTTTTTAAATTAAAATTTTCATCTTATCATTTTAATTTTGTGCATTCTTCATAGTGAAAATAATAATGATATCAATCTATATTAAAGTGACGAAAATTAAAAAAAATTGAAACATTATTAATTCGGGATGAAAGTAGTATATATTAAATAATATTTTTTTTAAAAATGTTATATTACATTTAAAATGAATTACTAATATTAGAGATATTGAAACGACCCCAAAAATGCCCGAAAATGT